TATGCAATCATGCCTTTACTGAGAAAGGAAGAGAAGGGCAGGGAAAGGAAGATGCTTCTTGGATACAAGAAACATAGGGTGGGGAGAGATGGGACAAACATCTGACAACCAAAATTAGTGGATATATGGAGGTGGGTGCCTGATGGCTTCTTGCTCTGTTAAATCAGCAGTAATGAGACACCAAAGTACTGAAAGAGTTGAACTTTTCATCTCCGTTCCCTCATGGATGGATGTTCAAAGGCACAAGTTTAGTTTGTTCTTCTGAAGGATGGTGAGAAGAAGGTCTTTAGAGCCCGCACAAATGAAAGCTGCTAGTGCCAGAGGGAATTGCAGAAAGAAAAGCCTTTAATATTTTCATGCTGATGTAAACTCTTGAGGAAACGACATGGCTGACCAAATCATTTGTTCTTTGTACCAAGTTGTTCACCTAGTTCTTGGTAACAAACTAAAAGCTAGAACAGTCTTTGGAGAATCAGAAAAGCTGCAAACCCAATAGTCAGTGAAATCCTCTCGGTTCCTTTCTCCTTCACCCTTTTTGCGACCTCATGTACAGTCATTTTCTCAATGCATGAAGCCACATTTTAAAAAAGGAGAACAGGAATTTGCAGCCTCCAGAATATTCCCATTTCTGACACAGAAATGGAAAGTGCTTGAAACTGTTTCCTAGAAATAAATGAGCTGTCACTGATCATGATGAAGATGTCTCAAGTGTACTTTTTTAAAGTACAAGAAAGTAATAAAAATACTTTGTATTTTCAGTGTTAGTTATAGGTTCTTTTTTGTTCTTTTTCCTCTCCTATTGGTTTCATTTTTTCAGTTTGCTAAGACTAATCCCCAGACCTGTTTTTATTCTTTTTTTAAAAAACCTGTTTATTTCTATTTAAAAGCACATAATTTTAGATTAAATCAGAAAAGGTTATTCTTTCTCCCTCTGTGTCTCTTTCTAGTATTTAATATTCAGTGCTTTTACTTTTCTCTGTCTCAAACTTTTTCTTATTTCCCATCTCATTTGTTTCCTATTGTGTGTTTCTGTTCTGAATCCCCCCCCTTTTTTTTCCTACAGATATGTTAAGGCATGGAGTTCTGTGCTCCCAAAATGTGTGTAAAGGATTGTTTGAGAGGGTGTTCAGATGATGGTGACTTCTAAGATATCTTAAAAATGAGAGTGGTTTAACAAGCTGGTCAGTATGGCTTGCTATCCCTGCTCAGAGGGAAATCACAGTAATTTTTCCTTTGAATTATACTATGGTTTGCACTGAATGCCAACGCATGTAACAAACTGTGGGTTTGCAAACAATATATGGTAGTGTGAGTACTGCTTAGATGGGGAGTGCGAGGTGGTTAATTTTTTCTGGGAACTTCTTAGTATTAGCGAAAGTGTTACGTGCTAGAGATGCACAGAATTCACCTATGGCTATAAAGAGCTGTTTACTTTTCTCCTGCAAACACAAAAGCCAAGTGGGAAGGGATATTTCATAAACTCAGTGCTATTGTGTCCTCTGGTCTAAGCCATAAAACAAGAGTAACAGAGACATTCCCTTTGAACTTGAAATCCCTTTCTAAGCTGCTGATCTAACCTAAGTGAGAGGGGGAGACTATACCAGCCAGAAAATTTTTCTCTTCTGGATATTTCTCCCTCCCCCTCCCCAGCCCCTTTTCTTTTTTTAAAGTCCTTAAGTGAGTTTGATGCTGCACCTCTGCCCATAAATTTAAAAAAATATTATCGTAATGTAGGTCAGTGAACTGAAACGCCACTGTACACCATGGGGGATTAAAGTCGGAGAGGCAGCCCTCTCCCACTCCCACTAGGTCATATGACAATATAAACAAGAAACGCAAGGAGCCTTCAGCTTTTTCTTGCCCTAATCCTTTGTTTATGCAGCACTTAAACTGACTTTTGGGGTCGTCTCTGTCTGGCATTAAAGCCCTAAAGCTTTTTGAAGTTTCCCTGAAGTTAATAAAATTAGTCTGCCCTCGTTGCTAGGCCCCTTGCTGCTGCTTCAGAGCAGACTGTGTATCCCTTACTGTCTTTGTGGCATTTGGCTTTTTAAGTTAATAATATTTTATAACAAAAAAGAGTGTTTCAGAGAAAAGCAGAAAGATCTCCCAAAAGGCTGTTCAGCTAATAGGCAAAGTGATTGCCATTGTAGATGTTCTGAGAACTCAAAGGGGATTAACTTAAAATCCAGCGATTGGAGGTAAATTGCTGGTAAAGTAATTGGAAGTGTTGAGTTTCAGTTGGAGAGAACAACATGCGTTTCTGTGGCTTTTTACAAAGCAAGGCTAAACCAAAAACTTAATTTTTCTTTTATTTTTATGAAGTCTTAAAGTTGAAAAAAATGAGGTTTCCTTTGTAGCAATTCTCTCCTTCACCTATTTATTTTACTGCAACGATTAATCACCTTAGGTTTTGTTACATCAGGCGTTCTCTTGTTATTTAGTCGTCTTCAGGGACAAACCTGGTCCCTGAAGACGACCAAACAACCCTGGTTGGTTAACCGGAGGGACGGACAGTGCAGGATGGGATGTATAGTGTTTAGTGTACAAGGCTAAGGCTTTGGGTGGTAAAGGTTTTATTCCAGAGAGCCACTCAGGCGAGTCACCAATCGCTTCTTATTTCTGTACCGCTAAAGCAGTTTTTTTCTAATGGCCTATAGAGATGGCCAAGGAGTAACGGTGATGCAGACAGAACATCTCAATTGGCTAAAGGGGGGGGGGGGTTTAACAAGCTGACCATTGGAGTGAAAGGAACAGTGCAGCGGGAGCCCTTGGTTACTTTGCTAAACTGTGTGTATAAGAGCAAGACCCTAAAAAATCACCTCTACTTATAAGTGATGAGGGGTTTTAAAATCAAATGGTATTAAGTGAGTATGGCATACGTAAATGGATTTTGTTGCTGTTATAATCATCAGTTGTAGGTTATCATTACCAGTTTACTCAAAGGTACATGATGCCTGTAACACTTGTTCACAGAAATCACTCAGGGTGGTTTTTTTCCTGACAGCCTTGCCGGGGAGGCTCTACAGTGAACCAGCTAGCCTAGTATGATTGCTCACCCTGTAATTCCGTTTTTAATTAAGTTAAAGATAACTTTGAAGTGCTCTTGGAAAAATAAAAGATGTTTATGTTGTCTTTAAAGTTGGCTTTCTGTGCCATTTTGTGGGGATAACTACAAAAGTAATAGAGATATGGAAGATCCTCGCTGGAGTGTAAGAGACTGTATTTAAAACACAGGGGTAAGAAAAACGTAGCCAGCAGTGGAGGAGAGGGATGCTCAGTTTTGAAATTCTTTTAGGAATAAAGGTATATAGGAAGAAGTAATTTTTATTTTACCACCTAATGCAACTGGAAAAATTAAGAAGGTTTTGAGAATGTAAGTGCTGCTTCAGGTTGGAATTAACAGCGTCTTTTTCTGCCAGTCTTCTATTTCAGGCCCAAAGAAAGGCAAGTGTGCCTGACTGAAAGCTTATCTTCTCCCTCTACACCACCTATTATCAGTGGCCCTAGTAAAAGACACTATTCCATTTTAAATTTAAGCCAGTGGTTGCCAAGCAGTGATGCTACCTTTAATGGTTCACAAGCTATTTTGAAGCCATGTTTGTTGGGAGGGGTGGGAGAAGGCAAATGCACCAAAAAACCCCAGATTTGTGATATTTTGGGAAAAGATCAGGATTGGATGTTCAGGCAGCAAATGTTGTTCAGACATCTGAATGCTTCTCCTACAGCCTTTACCCTGCACTCAGCTGGGAGCGGAGCTACCTGTACTGTTGTCATCTCCATGTGAAAGAAGGAAGGGCTGTAGACATTTCTCATCCTGCATGTGGGCTGGGACAGGGTGAGGTCGTCTTAGTGCTCTCCAGTGTTGCACTGCCCTTTCAAGGCTGTTTATAGCTGAGCTTATGAGTAAACCTCATAAGAATGCTAGGGATTTGAGTCTGTATATGCACTGTTTTTCATGGAAGAAGATTCAGGGAAGGAGAGTAGCTTAATAAACCTGCAATACTTTGAGTCATCATTTAAACCGAATAAAGGGGAATGTTCAAAATTGGTTATAACTCTTTACTGTTCTAAGTCACTTTGGTCTTTGAAAACCCTAAGGTTTGTCTAAAAATAGCTCCTAAGGTATGAAGAAGAGCTGCAACTTCTGTCACAAAAAAAAAAAGTCTTGAAAAGATTTAAGTAATATCACCTTATTTCTTCTGATAAGTAAATAAATGTTCTTGCTGTGGCTATGAGGTAGAGTAACTCTAGGTGTTAGGTATACAAGGATATTCACACCTACAGGATTAGGCTCACTTGACTGCACCTTATACTTTGTAATGCCTAAGGGAGGGTTGTTTATCTTGCCTTACCCGCCAACCTTGCTGCCTCTTGTTCCTGATAGCTTAATTAAGAATTCAACTTGGAATGGTTCTTCCCACTGGGCTACAAACCTTGAAATTAAAATTGGATACAATGGTCATAAGGCTTTTGGTTTAACAAATCAATGTGTATGTAAAGGTGAATATTTAAAAGGTTCTATTTAGAAACTCTGAGTAATTCTGTCATTTCTTGGGAAGCGTAGCTGTTGGGAGTGCAGTTCTGGAGCTAAGAGAGAATGTTTATGCAGGTGACAATGTACTTAGCTGTAGGATAAGAAATGGAATAAAATTTTTATAAGCATAAGTCCTTAAGTGACTTTCATGGAAAGGTTTCAAAGCAGAAAAGAGATTTTAATTAACTGATCTTTAAAACGTGTTCTGATGCAGGTTTTGTTCTTCCTGTATCAGTAGAAAGGAGGTGAAAGCAGAAATATGTTAATTTACATAGCCTTCTACAGTTTTAGACACAAATTGCCTTAAACTTAGCAATTTAGATGACTTGTCTAGAGTTTTGTTCATTTGGGGGTAGATGGTTTTCCAAGGGCAGGATGGTAGAAGTCACCAAACAGTGTGTATCTCAGGTATAATTTTTCTTGTTGCTTTAGACTGGAGGCTCATAAAGCCCTATTTCTTTTGCAGGTGATGGATGATTACAGTGTGATTGGTCGTTCGCTGTTCAAAAAAGAAACAAACATCCAGATTTTCGTGGGCCTGAAAGTCAAACTGTCTACAGGAGAAGATGGAATAATAGATGGTGGTTTTGGACAAAGTGGCAAATTTAAAATCCGAATTCCAGGTAGGTGCTTACCAGCTAAAAATTACTAACTGTAGACTCATAAAATAGTTTGGGTTGGAAGAGACCTTTAAAGGTCATCTAGTCCAACCCTCCTGCAGTGAGCAGGGACATCTTCAACTGGTCAGGTTGCTCAGAGCCCTTTCTAACCCATGGTTCCAGGGGTGGGACATCTACCACCTCTCTGGGCAACCCGTTCCAGTGTTTCACCACCCTCATCATAAAACCACTTCTTCCTTATCTAGTCTGAATCTACCCTTCTTTGGTTATCTATGTCAAGTGTAGAGGATGTTTCCATATTGCAAGTGTGAATGTTACCAGTAGTCTCCCTAAGTTCTGAAATCGGCTCATACTCAGTTGCACCATGATGATTTGGTGGATTGTATGTCTTCCAATTAAATGATGGTGGCTGTGACTTACATTGTGAGACTGAATGGCCTGAAGCCACATCTCCTGTGTCAGCAAACTCTGGTCTCAAAATGATTTCTTGTTAAGTGCCAATAACATCAAAATTGTGCTCTGCCCAGAAAGGTTTGTGGAAATCTCTCCTCTCTTAATATACATATGATTTGCACCAGAGCCCTTCTGAATAAATAAAGGAAAATAAACCTGCAATCGTTTTTACCTGTAGCTGCTTATTAAATATAGTATAGTGAATGCAAGTTCCTTAAATTGACTCTGTTGTGCATGTTATTACCTAACTTGCCTTCAAGCAAAAACTGCTTGATAAATGAGTTTTTGGAGATCTTGAGTGGTTTTTTTATTGCTCGTGTCTCCTGGTTTTATGATGTTATATATTACTGTATTTTTCATCCTTGGTGAATTACAGCAAGGATTTATGCCTCCTTAGGTTAGAGCATGGGGAATGATGGGTGCTAGAGTTTATAACTGTCATTACTGTGGGATTTTCTTCCTTGTTTTAAGGTAGGAAAGTTGTTCTGAGCCTTTTCAAAAGGCAATAATAGGTGCTGCATTTAACTCGATTATGGCATAAGATTTTCATGATACTAGGAGTACATTGTATTTCTGTAGTGTCTCCAGCCCGTTTGTCACTGGTTAATTGTCTATAGGGAGATGTGTGAGATTACTTCTGTTGTACAAAGTGAAGAAATCATGATGTTCTGTGACAGCAAACAGTCGCGTAGCTATTGATCTACAGAGAAAACAGAAGTTTCCTGATTTCTTGCTGAAAATGGACTATTTTCCATTTAACTTAAGGCTTGATGCAAGTGCGCTAATTTTGACCCTCGGCAAACTTCCTTTCTTCTTCCTATCACAAGCTAAGAATTTCTGACTAGACAAAAAAACCTCCTGTATTCTATCCCAGTCATAATTCCAGTTTTGTCACTAAATGCTAAACTTTGCAAACAGGTCTGAGAGCCTAATTAGCAAGCTCAGTGCGTATTTAAAGAAAGAAGTCGCACCAGATACATGCATGTTTTGCATTTTCTATTACAGAAAAGCTTTTAAGTGTTCACTGAGATAGGTACCTTTAGGTACCTGGTGAAATGATGTGTAAATGACCTTAATGCTGAAAAGAGTTCAAGCTGAAAATCAAGATGCTATCTTCCTTAAAACTAGTGTTCTTTGTAGCTTTTATCTCCCAGAGGCAAAAATGTGATGAAAGAGAAGAACAACAGGAGGATGGCATTTACGTTGCTATTTCCACATTTTTGGGAGGAGGAAGTGGTTCTTCATGGGACGGGGAGAAGTCTAATAAGGAGTTTTTGTCATCAATGTGGATCTAAGCAGGAGCTGTAACTGTGAACCAGCAGTCACATTAAGAAAATCATACACAGATTTAGAAAATTGCTTTTGGCTCTGTATATTGAATAAGTGGGAAGAAATGCTACCTTTCACCAAGGTGTTCATTACCTAATCTTGGTTCTACTCTTCTGATGTTTAACAGAAGACTATGAAACAGAGGACCCTTTATAGTTCGTTCTTTCAATGAGAAGAATATATAGCAGAATACCAGAATTCAATACCTCTCTAAAGTTAGGCAGAATAATACAACTTAGTTTTATTTAGTCTGGGCCAAATTTGGGTATTCTTGCTATCTGGAAAGAAGAGGCAATAAGCTAAATCAGCTAAGCTAAGAGTATCAAACAAAGTGTGGCTAGCAAGGCAAACACCCACAGAATTTGGAAGGGCCTAAAAACCTGTGTCTTTAAGAGTTGCAGAGACTTGTGTGTAGGGGGAGGGCTATTGCTGTGATGCTGTTTAAGTCAACTGCAGTTCACATTCCTTTGTTAGGTCAGTGTTGCTTTTTTAATGTGTCTGCATCCTGTTTGTGGGTTTTTAGGTTTTTATTTTTTTTATTAAATTTAACTGATCAGACTCTTCTTTCCTTTCCCCCCACCCCCCCATTCTTCAGTCTTGCCTCCCCTTGTATAGTTTCTTACGGATTTCTTTTGTGAAGAGTTCTTTTTATTTTTTCTGAAGTTATTTCCCTGTGATTCCTTCACAAATGTATCAGGGAGTGGGAGGGAAGGGAAGGAAATGTGCAAGTTGAAAACTGCCTTGGACTGCCTTAGCCTGGCAGTCAGTCAGTCCTCTTGTATTTAAAACCAGTCTTAACCTCTGGAATGGAATAGCTTGTTCGGGTAGTTAACCTGATGATAGCTGAGGGCTGGTTTTAGAAACAAACATCTACATAGCAGTAAAAATCAGGCAGATATTTCAGAGACTTGTGTCCTGACTACTTAAGGTAATAGTAGACCATAGCACATTGTAGGGCGTTACGTGGTCCCGGTGGTGCCAACAGCATTCAGCACTGCGCATGCTCATGCAAGCAAGTGTTGGGCTCCCCAAGTGTTGTTCCATAGTCACTTGGAAATGGCTTGTGTTTGCCTAGGAACATTGTCTGTGTCGTCTGTGGGCTGAAACTTGGCAGACCTCGTGACTGGGAATGGCAGAACACGGATCTGTTTCTTATTCTGGCACTGTTTATGTGCAGCAATAATTCAGATACTTCTCTCTGCTCTTCTGCTCTGTGAAATGGGGATAATTACTATCCATTCTGGATAAAAAAATAGAAACCTCTGATTTAGATTTATTCCAGACTCGGAGCATTAATATTTCTTGAAAAGGCTTAATTATCTTTCTTTAGCGTACAAAAAACATATCTAGAGTACAGCATGCAATTGGAAGTTCCTCAGTCGCTGAAAGATGTCAGCAATTTGGAAGAAATTCAGGGAAGAGCAGTAAGAATGCTGGAGAGGCTGAAGGGATTGATTTATGAGGGAAAGAAGATGAAAAGAAATGCATGAAACTTGGCTAAATGATGTCTAAGTGGGAGATATGATTATCTGCAAGTATTTGAAGAACATAATGGAGAAGAATCCCTTAGGGTGGTCCAAGGAGGTAGAAGTAAAGCTAATAACATGAAATAAAGCAAAGTGTAACTTGACTGTTGAGAGATGTTATTTAGCAGAGGTTTCTTGCACTGCCAGATCATCTTTGCGGAGGAAGATGATGTAGTTCCATTTTGAGAATACCCACGTAGTTTGCCTGAATGTTTGCTAGTGCTGGCGTCAGGGTAAAATGGACAGGCAGCAGGGTGGTGGAATGTAGAAGGACAATGTATTTTTCATCTCGTTTCTGTTTTTTGTGTTCAGGCATGCTTTTATTGCTTGAATGATAAGGTATAACCTACTTTCTAGACTGTTTGCAGCAGTTAAAAAAAAAAAAAAAGCATTTGTTGGCGGATCTGCTGCTCGGTAGGGCTAGGTTGTGGAGCTGTTTGTGTTTTAACAGAGGAAAAAGTTTCAAGGCATGTTTAATCAACAGGGTGACGCTTGCTTTCCAGACTGGTTGTATGATCAAATACATAAAAAGGGGGACATAATCTCTAAACTGACAGGAGAGTTTTGCTTAGTTTAACGAGCTGCTTAAAAAACAAACAGGATTTGAAAGGCAATTTAAACTACAGTGTTTTGTAAGTTATGCTAGTGTGTGTGTGTATGAGCAAGGGAGCTACTGATGAAGTGCTTCTTGCTGAGGTGGGTGAAATGTGGCAGCTGTTTTAGTTGTAAATGGGAACACTGCATTATATAGCCAAGGTAAGTGAGCGAAAAGTATTGTTCACCTTTGAAATCAAGAACAAGTTTGGGGAGGCAGGAACTGTATGGTTAAGTGTCTTATTCTAAAGAAGACAAAAGCCAACAGTGACAGTCTTTGGAAGATGCTTATTTCAACATAGTTGCACCTAGGAATGTCATGCCAGTTGATAAGAAATTCAGAGGAAAGTTCAGTCACTCGTTTGAATAACTTAATGCTGATTGTGCGTTTTGTTTAACTGTCTCTCACCCAAGAATTGACCCTGTAAAACTCTCGTTTGCAAAGTCATCATCTGTTGATGTGTATCTCATGACATCTTTTAAAAGATTGGCTCTAGATATGCCCATTTCGTTGGTTTTGGCACATTGCATTTGTGTTTAATTACTGTAAGATGCAGTGACTTTTAACATCTAATTGGAGCATATGTGCTATCTCATGCATAGTTCGCTTTCCTTTCTCTCTGTCTTTACTGTCTAGTTGCTAGTAAAGCGTTCATCCTTCCGGAGGCACTGCGGTGTGTTTGAGTGCAATTCTTTTCTTCTCTTTTTGACTCAATTCATTAAAAATTGCTATACGTGAGATGAGTTAAAAGCTACCTTATTTCTTAATGCGAAAGAAGCAGTGCATATCTAACACTCATAACAGCTGAACACATTTCTGAATTGAGCAAGTTTAAATGTAATAAAAGGCACATTTTTCATAAGAAGATATACAAATGAGAATATTAGAATCCAGGCTTTTTTACTTTGCTGTTCTTTTTACCTGTACAGGATAATGGGAGTTTTAAGTTTCTTACAACAGGTGAAGGCAAACTTGTTTGTGACCTTGGCTTTTGTTGCCAGTAACTTTTTGCCTTGCATTTATAAGTGTTATTGCATATGAGGGAGAAAGTCTGTTTTCACTGTTTCCACTGCTTGTCGTGGTAGAGGGGTTGAATGCAC